TGCTTTAGGTTTATATCCCTCAGTCAAAGGAAAGAACTTACTGTATCAATCCTATATACCAGATATCCTCCTCCTCCTGCTTTGCACTGCGTGGTGCCTGGCTGTGTCAGGGAACCTTCCTCCCAGTTCCTGTGATGCTTTACTGGAGGCAGAGTGGGAGGAGGCAGAAAGCAGGGTGATGAAGACCTACAGGGCTGACACAGTGGCCTCAGCACCTTCTCCTGGAGACACCTGGCTCTGTGGGCTGTCCCCAGTACACCACCTCCTTGTGCCACAGCAGGAGCCTTCTCCTGGTGTGATTCACACTCCTCACTCTGCCCTTCTGCACACCCCAGTGCCAGCAGCAAGGTGAGCCTCTCCCACTCTCTCTGGGCCCCGTCGCAGATGGGTGCTTGCAGGAAGGTTTCTATAGGAACCAGAGGCAGGAAAAACCTGCCCACCAACTTCAGTGCTCTAATGTCAGGGGCAGGAGGGCAGGCAGGGGAGTGATCTCCAGCAAGGCGGAGGCCAGCATGCGATGACGTGGACAGGGGAAGGTGTTCCCCTCTGCTACACCTGTCCTGGGACGAGGAGGGACTTTTGGCCTCAGCACTCGCCTGCCCTGCTTCCCGAGCGCCGTGGTTGATTCCCTTGTACGGGGAGTTTTCTCATCTACGTGCCTAACGCACTGGCCCAGCTTCTCCATAGCAGGTCAGTTCAGCAGTGATTGTGCATGCAATGGAGGTTAATAGTGACCGAGGAGGATCCCTACTCACGAGCTTGAGGCACTGAGCACGGATTCAGAGCACAGGTGACGAGAAGCACGGCAGACATACTGCGTGGCTGAAACAGTGACTGTGTTCCTAATAATAGTCATTGGAAACAGGGTTAACTGGGTGGAGGGAAGGCAGGGGAGAAGGACGTATTGCAGGCTCAGGAACAGAGCAGCTGTGGTTGCAGGGCAGTGATAAGCCTGAAAAAAAAAAAAAGCCTCAAAATACATTCACAGTGATGTTGAAAGGGGAATAAGTATTGTCAGCAAATTTACCTGCTTGGTGTGCATGCTGTGTGCGTTGCCATATAAAATCAGTGTGCAGGTGCTCACTTTGTAATTCTTGTTATGTCTTCAGCTACTGAGGGAAAAGTTGGTGCTATGAGAATAAGTGGGGCTAGAGTGATGGGAAGGATCAAAGAGTATTTACAGAACTCGTGGATAAGCAACTGGCCATTGTATGGACAACATTACTTCTCAGAAACCTGAACGTTTTCTTGTTCAGGTTGTTTGGTTGTTGGTTTTTTTTGTGTCAGAAGATCAGAGTGTCTGTTCATCCATGCCAGCCTTTCTCATGCAAAGAACTGTCTAAATCTGGGAGGAAGAAGTCTTATCATTTGTGTTCTCAGACACAGATGCTTTTTATGCTTTTGCAATGTTTTACAGCTGTTTATCTTGGAGTGCTGTAGCAAGCTACTTCCAGGCTGCAAGTACGCACTGGAAAGCTCATTGAAATGCAAAGGCAATATAACCTTGTACTACTGAGCACTGTAAACAACTCAGGATCTGCTGGATGAATCCCTACGGTTCCTTCTTTTAGTGGTTTGCAGATATAAGTAGCTTTACTGGAAAGGGGAAGCTGGAAAATCCATCCCAGACTTGCAAATGTTAGTTTCTCCCAGGTTCTTTCCCAAGTAAGTAGGAGTGACTGATATATCCCAGCACTGGTTTTATCTGCTTGGCAGAGGTAGCTCTTGCTGTCTGCCACACACGGAGTTATAAGGTTGGTCTTAAAGTCCAAAATCTCTCTGATTACTGAAAGATTCCATTCTTCTCCTGGAAAACCCCTATAAAAATCTGCTGTATCGGGAGAGTAAAGGGCAGAGCTATGCAGGCTGTTTCACCATCTCAGCTCTATCACTTGATTTAGTTTAGAGGAGCCTGGCTCATTGCAGAGGTACTCAGTAGCATGTTGTCCACATCCTAGCCCAGTTTATCACAGAAAATCCTTGTCAGAAGCTTTCCCAGCTCCCTTAAGGGAGCTGTATTCCACACTTTGCTCCTGTGGTTTGTGATGCTACTCCTAAAATCTCTTTCAGGCTTATTGCATCTAATAATACCTTCTTAAACCCTTTTCACTATTCCAATCCCTTCTCCATGGACAGTGTATTTAGAGAACGATGATGAATAGTATGGTTTTTTTGTATTGATAATTAAGCACAGGACTCACAATACGTGGTGGAAAAGGTGATGAAAGTTGACTTGATTTTTGACATTCTTTCAATCAATGCTGTTACTGTCACAAGGAATTTGTTAAATGATAGTGTGCTGTTTATAGCTGATGGGTAGGTATGAAACCGAGAGGAAATTCCCATGTCTGGAATTTAATTTTCCTGTGGGGGAACTTAAATACTAAGGGATTTAATTTTCCTGTGGGGAAGTTGTGCGTGAGGGGTCTGTCTTTTCCCCACCATGTTCTTACATGATAACTGAATTCTCTTACCACCAATTGGTTTTTTTTTTTCTTTTTTTCTTTTTATAACAGGATAGCGACCTCTTACCTCTGAGAACAGCATTTCTGGACCTGCAGACATCCTCTGCTACTCAGCCTTACCGAGCGCCATGTCAGGTGAGCAGAAAGAAATGGACACAGTGCCTTCTTGTTTGGTTGCTTGTTCTTTCTTCAGCTGCAACTTAGTAAAATACAGTTACTGGTTCCAAGAGCCATTCTTTGCATTAACATACTGTCCGGTCAAATTGGGGGAGAGGAAATTGCCCCACTCTTTGTGACCCAGCTGCCTTTTCACTCAGGGTGAACTAAGTTCATTCTTTTACCCTGTACTGAAGTCTGCAGAAGCTGCTTCAGCTGTTGAACATAGAGGAAGGAGGAGATTGAAATGTAGTCTGCCTTCCCCATTTTTAATAAGTTCTGCTTCCAAGATTTGCCCCAGAGTGGGCGGCTCGCTTATGATCTGAGAGATTTTTTCTGTACCACGGTAGCTCTAGGGCAGGCAGAAAGCTGAAGAATTATTGGAGTTCAACTGCAGACTACTGAACTTTACTAAAACTAGATCTCCTCCTTACAGTGGCCAACTCTCCCACCCCATATATTTGTCTAAGCCTTCCTTCCTGATCCAGGTGGTTATTTCAGGGCATATAACCTTGAGGGAGACTATATTTCATAGCCAAGTAAACCTTTTTCTTGGTGATGTGCACAGTTGAAGACCTGGGACATCCTTATCTGCTTCAATTGCAAAACTCGATGTCTGCTTTTATTCCAAGGGAAGCTATTCAATGGGACACTACCTGAGATTGGAAAGATGCTTATGATAGGCATACTTTCATTGCTGCAGCTCTTTATACGTGGTCTGGCAATATCCCAGCCCTTCTGGAGCAAAGGGAGCAGTTGAGCATCTTGCTGAAGGCTCTGATTTCCCATTTTCATGCCTCAGTGACAAAGTTTCAGGGAACTCTGGAGTGCTGCTGATGCTGGGGTCAACGCCTCCATAGGAAGTATTTAGTTCTCCATAATAATTTTTTTTTTTTAATGGTTCCCCTGGCTTGGCACTGACTGCACAGCTTTTCCAAGCAGAATGAAGATCACATGATGCCATGGAACTATTTCTCTTCCCTAAAAGTCCCTTTCTTAGAGGGAACTCCATTTGGCCTTTCTGCTTCTTTTGCTCAGTAATAAGGGACAAAACCATCTGAAATTACTTGCTTCCTTGGTGAAGTGGGAGCTGTCTCAATGTCTAGAGTAGCAGTAGTGACAAACTGCTGAGTGAGCCCTTGCTGGGACAGTCTCTATTGAGTATGTGTCTTACAAGGGAGTCCTTCCAGGTATTCACTGCTATATGTTGATCTTTTTGTGTTTAGGCCATCACACTCCCTCTGCTGGGGGTCCCTTCTCAGCACTCACTCCCAGCATTTGGCCTCAGGAGATCCTGGCAAAATACACACAGGTACGGTATAGGGCAGGGAGGGTGTGTTCTCTGGCTCTGCACAGAAGTAAATGGACCCTGGTGATTTCTGGTGGTCTCTGAAAGCCACAGGGAAAAGGATGCACTCTTCATCCGGTGGTTTGGTTGTGGACACTTGTTTGCTTCTTAAACTTCATGTGTTTTGTGGCTACATCCTGGCTCTTGCAAGAGGATCTTACAGAGTACGAAGAAACTTGTGTGAATTATTGCCCTGCTGTTTTGCAACTATTGCTCCACTGTACAAATGTTGACATCCTCAAAGGAGTCTCTGTCACCATCGAGCTACTCTGGATGGCTTGTGCATGGCAGGAAATGCTAGCCTCAAGACTTGTCACCAGGTGGGCAGAGCAGGAAGGAAGGAAGCAGCTGTGGAATTTCATAACTTACCCGCAGTGTTTGCTGAAGGCCAGCTGAGCCCAGTGAAGCAGATTAAAGCTTACTGTGCAGCCGTGCTAGAAGCATGCTTCTTGGGTGCTGCCTCGGCACAGTGCTTGCGAGACCCCCCGCAGGAAGGGCAGGTGGGCTTGCAGGGAAGGGGAGGTGTCTGTAGGCAGGAGATGGAGCAATGCAGGGAGCTGAATTTGCTGTGTGTGCGCGGAGGTGACGAGGACTGCTGTGTGTTAGAGATGCGGACCGTAGAGACCACTTCAGCTGGTGTGTGTGAATTCCTCAGTCCATGAGGAGGGCTGCATGCCCCTCCAGGTGGGAAGTTCTGATCTTGATATGATGGTGCACTCAAGCCCTGCTAGGAAAGGGATTGCTGGGAAAATCTATGCAGGTGGGAAGGCAAGGCTTCACAACTTCCATGGAGAAGTCAAAATGGGAATTGCATGCAACACCTCCCCAGCTGGGGACTGTAGTAGGAGGCATCAGAAATAAAAGGGCAAGGAGTCTAGTTGCCCAGAGGGCACAGTGTGGACAGTGGTGGGATGGGGCAATATCCACATGTCTCTCTTCAGTTGTTCAGTGCTAAACTGGTAAAAGTGTCTGTTCTCCTTCTCCTGCCCCCCAGAAAGAAGAATCCATTGAGCAGCCAGAGTTCCACTATGATGAATTTGGTTTCCGAGTTGATAAGGAAGGTAAAGTCAGTCCCATCCCTCCCAATTCCATTGTGTCCTGTGTCCAGCCCTTCCCATGCTTCCAAGTATGGCAGGGTGATTTTGCAACCATTCTGTCCTATGCCTCATCTAGCCACCCATCATCATCTTTCTGTATCCTACCATTGTAACAAAGGGCTATGCATTAGATCTGCTGGCCTTATGGGAGTCTGGAGCATAGAATATGCAGCAGTCTCGTTTCCATCCCATTATGCTTGTGTCATGGGTGAGAGAGCAAGAGGAAAGCTAAGAGGAAGTTATCATTTCCATTAGCAGCTGCATGCTGGGGAAGGGCAGCTTTCCCAGTTGACAGTGGGGTCTCTGTTGTTGTCAGTAGAACTGTAAGCACCGACAGCAGGCATAGTGACACGTGCTGTGTGTTGAAAAATTTGCGAACAAAGTGAGTGGCAGCAGTATGTGTTCTACCCATCCCAGCAGTTTGGCAAAGTGTAGGGCAAATTGTAGGGGCAGAACCCACATCCTAGTTTTTCTGCAAGATACAGAGGCAGGAGACCAAATAGAAGGAGGTGTGGAGACCTATTGCCGCTGGGCACTGAACTACAACAGCTGGCTGCCTTTGCAAAGAGGAAGAGAAAGGAGTGGGGTACACAGGAATTACTTTATATGCTCTGAGAGGACGTTTCCAGGGCTCAGGCCATACAGTGCAAGGGCAGAAGTTGTTTGCACGTGTGCCCTAAGGCACCTTGAGTCATAGAGGATCCTCTTTGAAGCAATGACCCGGAGATGAGGACAGGACACAGCAATTTTCTTCGGCTAGAACATTCGATAGACTACTTGTGCATTATAAAGTCAGCAGAAGGATTTGGACTGCATTGTTGGGATGATGAAGGACAGAGTGCCTTTACGTCAAATCTGTACTTGTGCTAAAGTATCTGTTTTAGAAAGCCAGCCTCAGGTTAAGGTGCTCTCTCATTGTGAATTTGGAGGTGTCCCCGTTAAAGCTTCTTTTTGGTGATAAAATATCCCTGAAGTTAACATTTTGCACCTCATTACTTGCATGAGCATATAGCTTCTGCTTGCCACCACTGAAGCCTGCTACGCTTTTGTCAGGCTGATTTACAGATCCTTACAAAACCCAGCAGGATGACTGCTGTCAGGGTCTTGTTTAATTCCAGCCATGCTATGCGCTAAATCATGAGTAAGTAGAGGCTAGAAGCCTGCTGACAGCTGCTTAGTTCTCAAGGCCCCAAATTTTATGACCATAAAATTTGCTGCATGGAGAAGACAGTTAGAAATGAAGCTTCGCCTTTCTATGCTCTAGCTGGAAGACATGAATGTTTTTAAGACATTTTCTTTATATGGCCATCTTACTCCCTACCTTATGCTCGTTCCCTCTCCTGTTTTTTCTCTCACTTGTCTCCTTTTCTTTCCTTTCCCTTTGCTGAGGCAGATGGTGCTGAGCCAACCTCCAGCAAGCTTCTGGGGATCCCACTGACAGAGGAGCCACAGCAGAGGCTCAAGTGGCAGGCTCATCTGGAATTCACACACAACCATGACGTGGGCGACCTCACATGGGACAAAATTGAGGTCACCCTACCGCATTCAGACAAGCTGCGCTCCCTGGTGCTAGCCGGCATCCCACATAGCATGAGACCACAGGTGAGAGTGCTGCCTCTTCTGGACAGGCTGTCCTGCCTGGAGTAAGAGACAGTGGAGCGAGACCACTTACTCTTGGCTGAGAGGATGCCAGATTATGGCTTTCTGTGGCTGTCTTGGTGACTGTTCCTATCTCTGTCGCCCCAGTTGTGGATGCGTCTGTCAGGGGCCTTGCAGAAGAAGAGGAATTCAGAGATGTCGTATCGGGATATCGTGAAAAACAGCTCTAATGACGAAAGCATTGCTGCCAAACAGGTAGGGCATACTGTCTAGTGCTGACTGGGCACAAGGGAGTGGGGAGAATGGCAAGATTTGCTGCATGAGAAGGAAGGGATGTCTGCCTGACACCTGCAGCAGGGACAGTTTGAGAGGACATGTGTAGTCAAATCCTGCTAAAGCTTAATCCTACTGTTGGGCATATTTCTCCGTTGTTTTGTTGGAATAGCAACTGTGCAGCTCCCCTCCTTCCTAGGACAGCAGGGAAGGGGTTGGGCCCGTGCTACCTGCAGTCTAGAAAACAGTGCTGCAATTGCATCTCAGCAAACATCCTGATATTCACTGAAGGAAGTGAAAGGCTGATAGATGCACCTCTGTTGAGGTAGTAGCAGCTGCTTACAGGGACTGTCTTTGTTCCCTCAAATACAAAGTCTCTGAACACCAAGATGACTGTTACAGAGTGTTTTTCCTCTTCCTCTGACCTCTCCTTTTGTGGGAGAAGGCAAAGGGTATGGCAAAAGAAACCTAGCTCTGCACATGTTCACCTCTCACTAAGAAGATAGGTTCAAAATGGTTGTAAGGAGGAACAACACTGCCCAAGGAAGATCTGTGGGCTGTTCACCTCCAAGTCCCCTGTCACAGATGTGGCCAGGTTGTTGTTTTCTTTCTGTTGGGAAGCCTTGCTTGAAATCCAAGCAGATGAAACTCCCAACCACTATGCCTGTTATTCTCAGTGGTGAAGCTAGGGGCTGAGTTTAGGCAAGTATTTCTTGGGAGACACCAAGTCTGGTGTCTGTCTTGGGAGACACCACATCTGGACTGGCATTTTCCCACATGTTAGTGAAGGCTGTTAAACTGACCCTGGGTGCCTGGATAGGGCCATCTTCTTTGGTGCCTAAGGACTTCTGCATGAGTGTGGGGAAGCAGAGTTCCCTGAGGCAAGGGCCCATGGGGAAGTGCAGAGAGCACAAGGCAATTGTTCAGATGCTGTTAGCTGACCCTGTCTATGCTTATGGTTTTCTTGCAGATTGAAAAGGATTTGCTCCGCACAATGCCCAGCAACGCCTGCTTCTCCAATATGAACAGCATCGGGGTACCACGGCTACGCAGGATACTACGAGGACTTGCCTGGCTCTACCCAGAGATTGGATATTGCCAAGGCACTGGCATGGTAACCTGCATTCAGAGTGTCTTTATGATAGGGATTGTTTTGTCTGTGGTGGCTATGCTGCAGCAAGTGATTTGAGGCAGTGCTGCCAGACACTATGGCCTCCAGATGAGCTGAAGGGAAATCCCTTCCACGTGGAATGTTTTTCCTAGAGAAGGGAGAGCAGGGTAGCACCACATGTCCAAAGATGTGGAAGAATTCAGTGCATCTGTTGGGGAGGGACAGGCATTACACTGAGGAGAAATCACTTCAGTGGGAGATTGCAGGAGAGCTGCTGTGGGGGAAGGAGGATGTTGGTCACCTAGATACTGGTCCATTTCTCCATCCAAGGAAATGGGGAAAGACTTCTGCTCCTCTTAGGACATGCAGTTCTTATTCCTTCAAAATCCTAGGTGGCTGCCTCTCTGCTGCTCTTCTTGGAGGAGGAAGATGCTTTCTGGATGATGTGCGCTATCATTGAGGAACTGGTTCCTGCCTCCTACTTCAGCACCACCCTGATGGGCGTGCAGACTGACCAGCGTGTCCTGCGACAGCTCATTGTGCAGTACTTGCCCCGCCTGGATAAACTGCTCCAGGAGCATGACATCGGTAAAAGTGTGCCCTAGAAATCATAGCTTTTCTTGCCAGAGTGGCATGCAGGCAAAAATTACAGTTCTTGTTTCACAAAAGGAGAGCAGCAGGGCTAGGAGAAAACTTCCTGGCCCTTCAGGCGGTGCGTGGTCATCTTTGAGCTGGGAGGAGAACGCTTAGCAGAGTCCATCTTCACTGGCTGGCTGACTTCCTCTGTCATGTTTCTTTTCTGTGTCTTTATTCACAGAGCTCTCCTTGATCACCTTGCACTGGTTCCTCACCTCTTTTGCTAGTGTTGTCCACATCAAGCTGCTGCTACGTATTTGGGACCTCTTCTTCTACCAGGGCTCTCTGGTGCTGTTTCAGCTCACTTTGGGCATGCTCAGTATGAAGGTAATTCCCACCTCCCCTTCCTCCTTTATAGTACTACAGTGTTTAATTCTGAGTTTTAGGGGCAAGAAGGTTTTGTATCCACTTCCTGTGTGTGGTTTGGGCATGTGCTTGGGAAGATGACATCTTGCCTTCCTCAGAAATGGGGGCTATGAAGAACTTCCAAGGCACTTCACAGGATTCAGGGATTGCTGTTTCCCCTGCCTACCTCATTTGTTCCCTCATAATTAAACCCCATCAGTTGCCCCCCTCTATTCAATCTAGATCCCAACCCGAGGGTCCATCTTACATAAATCAAGATACTTTTTGATTTTGCACAATCTCTGAGCAGAGATATAAAGCTGAGGTTGTGGTCATCTGGGAAGCTTTTGATGGCACTGTTGAATGCTCCAAGAGGTTAGCATTGTCCTGACTACATTTGATTTGGCTGGCTTACATTTAACCACCTGATCTTTTCCTTTTTATGTGAAAAATAATTTTGTGGTTCAGCTTGTTGTGTGAAAGGCAGGGGTGATCCTGCTGGGAATAAGGGGAAGGTGGAGCACAGTTTGAAATGTTAGGAGCTATGCTGCGTGTGAGACTGAGCTGCTTACATTCCCTTGTCCCCAACAAGATCCCTGCTGTGCCCAATCCTGGCGGTGGGTGAAGAATAGCTTCTGGTTTTTCTTTGCTTGCTGAGTTGACTTCGTTTCAATGATAGATGCTGTGATTCAAAAACATGCCAGCTAGAATTTTGGGGGCAGATCTCAGTGCAGTAGAGTAGTAAAAGATGATGTTCCCCTCCCATAGGTAGCTTGGACTCTTCCTACTGAAGTTTTTATGGAATTATCTAGTTGTACTTTCATTGTTTCTGGCCCAGACTGTACACTGAATGTAAAATTGCATCTAGCAGCCCCAAGAGCATAGTTGTCATGCTCACTGTTCTGTGGCAAAATGACTGCATCATTGCAGGAAGATGAGCTAATCCAGTCTGAGAACTCTGCCTCAATCTTCAACACGCTCTCGGACATCCCAAGTCAGATTGAAGATGCAGATGTGTTGCTGCGGGAGGCCATGCGTGTGGCTGGCTCTCTGACAGATGTGGCGGTGGAGACCCAGCGTCGCAAACACTTCGCCTACCTCATCGCTGACCAAGGGCAGCTGCTCAACTCCAGCACCACTGTCAACAATTTATCCAAAGTGAGTGCACAGAGTCCCGTCTGCCTCTGCTGCTTCATTTTTACCTTTCCCTTACATGTTCCCTCCCAATTGCTGTTTGAGAGCAAGAGGTCCTCCTGCCTGAAAGAATTTTAGCTCCAGTGGAGAAAAGGTCTTGGGAAGTGAGGGGGAGGTCTGTACTAATGAAATGCTGCCAGATCTGTCCTGGTTGATAAATCCCCAGGTGAAAGGGATATTGACAATGATTGTAATTTAATGAGAGTTATGATGGAAAGTGATGCATTTTATTAATGGAAACTAAAAGAAACAACATATGCCTTTGGCAAAATTTGCTTGGAGCATGCAGAGTAGGAACTGCAGTTAATCCATTAGTAAGAAACTGATGTACTAAAGTAACTCTGGAAGGTAGAGTCAGAAAACAGCAGCAGCCTTTGAGAAGCTGAATAAAAAATGCATCTGTGTTTAATCTTGGACTACAGCCTGCAGTTGCAGATGTAGTAGCTCCTGCTTGTCAAGCCTGTGTGGAAGATATATTCTTGATGCTTGTCTGTGTGCTAATCACAAGACACTCCTGCAATTCTAAAATGTAATAGGCATCCACTTAGAAATTTATATATAATTACAAGTAGAACTGCTTTTGGCAACAAGTAGAACTAAAATTATTCACTCGAATCATGGTTGATTCTTGAACTTCAATTATGCTTTTATAATAATTGAGCTATAAATAACCTATTTCACATGGAGCAGATCAAGCAGTAGAGCTGATTCATTGCGTTAGAACCAGAACTCCTGTCTAAAATTGCCAGTTCACTTGCCTGCCGTTTCCAGCGGTAGCTGTCAGGACCCCTTGCCCAGAGCTGACCTGTGTGGAGGATTGCTTTATTTTATTTCTGAAATCTGTCCTAATGTGTGCACTGTGTTCTCTCTCTTCCCACTCCCTCAGATTGTGCGGCGCAGGACTCAGCGCAGGAAATCTGGCATCACCTCTCTGCTTTTCGGTAAGGGCAACCCTGCGCCTTTCACATGGTGTTGATGGATATAGCAGCCTAGGAGGGAGGGGAGTGAGCAAAGCAGGGAAACACTGGGACAGAGGAAGAGGAGAAGAGGGAGCCAGAACTGAAGGGTAAGAGGGGAGAAGTGCAGTTTTCTACTTGCTTGCTTTGGTCTGAGCTCAGAAGGTGAACTTTAGGTGAGATGGTTTGTCTTTAAATGGCAGCTAACAATGAGCTGCAGCTCAGCCCAGCTGTCATGTCCTCCTTGCACTGACAAACAGTTCAAACACATTTTCTGGCAGGATGGTCCAGTGTATCACCCATCAAAATTTGTAAACGCAAACATCACTGATGCTTCCCTGTCACTTATTCCAAGAGTTCAGTGTGAATGCTTTTAAGTCTTAATTTTCTTCGCTGATGAGCCAAGCCAGAAAACACACAGCCAGAATAGGTTTGGCATCAATTTAAAAGTAACTTGCTTCTGTGACTCCATAATACCCCTTTCTATTGTAAGCCTCGCTGTCATCACCTTCCTTGCAACTAGTTAGCTTTCTTGAAATTGCCACATCTCGCCACAGAAATTGTTTTTCTGGAGGAAGACAACATACTGAATTTACAGGGTTCAAACAGCATTCCTGTTGTGGTTCAAATGGCCTGAATAAATCTAAAACTGGGTTTTAGTGGTCTTTTCAGAGAAGAGCTTTTCTGAGGTTCTCCAGGAAGCTGATATACTGTCACAGGCTTGCCGCAAGCACATACAGTATTATATATGAAAGTTATGGTAGAAGACCAGTGAAGCTGTAAAGTCAAGCATGCAGAAGTGAAGAAATGCAAGAAAGTTGCTTGTGCAACCTAAACTCAGACCTCTTGTGTGTAATGTTATCATAGAATCAGTACAGACTGAACCGGCAGGGAATTTAGCTGCCAAATGCATCTTTCTTGTGTTTCAGTCTCCTTGACCAAGTGTGAGTAGCTTTGCGACAGTAATAGTGAGTCATACCCACACACAAAGATAAATTTTAAGATCAAACTTCAAAATGAATCAATGGTAGAACTGAGAGGATTGATAGTGTGTTCTCATTTTAGTGGGGTTTCTGTATAATCACTGTCATGGTTTTTAGCTAATGTTATTCTCAGTAATTAAAACATTGGTTAAAATAGAGAAGGTGTCATCCTGCAGCAGATAACCCAAATGGAAAACTTCAGCCCAAGTGAGGGAAAGGAAAGCTTGGATGTGATAAATTCACCTTATACTGGGAACTGTCAATCAACTTTAAGTGTAAAGTCTGCTGGCTGTGATAGTTACTGTGTAGCGCTGGTACATAGCCCTCAGCTGAGTGGGAATAAGAACTTACCCAGAACTTAATTCTTCTTCCTTAGAGTGAATGTAGATTTAGTAGTGACTTGGATGGGAGTCACAGAATCACAGGAGCACTGTTTGGAGGGGACCTCTAGGTGTTTGTAGTCCAACCTCTCTTGCTCGAAGTCAGATTCTTGCTCATGCTAGATCAGATCGATCAGGGCGTTCTCTAGCTGAGGTTCAAGGAGTTGGACCGGATTTCTAATGAAGGAAAAGAAAGAAAAAACAGTGAATGGTAGTGTGGCGGAGAACATGATGTGTGTGTTGCCCTTTTCCTGTTGGATGGGCATTCCAATAAGGAAATGCGGGAGAGCTAATCCTCCTCTGCACAACTGTGCCGCTAGTCAGTCTTTGCAGGATCAAAATCGAGCCTCCTCACGTGTGGTCAATCCTGCACTGGTTTCCTGTTTTGGAAATGTGCGTGCAGGCCTGTCAGGTGCAGTGAGGTGAATCTGGTGGCAACTGCAGTTGCTTTCCTCTATATCGTGTATATTCTAAGGTGGGAGGGTGTGGAGCTCCTGCTTATGTTTGGGTGGGATTGGTCTGAGTACAGAGGGAGGAGCATGGTATTTTGGCCAGAAGGGACTGAATGATGACAGAAAGAATCAGTGATCTATGTAATTGAGGGCGGCCCACAGAGCTAGTGTGGCTGCGGTTGAGTAGTTTCTTCTTTAGTCACATTCTGTTTCAACAACATGAATTTTCTGGGAATCCCCGGTGTCTGCGTAATCACCTATCTATTTACAATCTTTGTATCTCTGAATCTGTAGTGAGACTTCTTACATGCTCTATTTCCTACCCCTGGCCACTGAGGAGGAGGTTTTGTTAATTTTCATTGTTTGGACTGGGAGTAAGTATTCCCTACAATTTTTCTAGTCCAGAAGCAAAGTTCAGTTTTCTCTTAAGCTCTGTGTTTCTGATTCTCTAATCATTTAATTTAGCAAATAGAAAACAATTATAAAAATAATTTTAAAACTAATTCTGTGCTTCTATTGGTGTTCTTAAAGTTTTGGCCTATTTTAATTAGGATCACTTATGATTAAAAGATACTGTTAATCACTTTTCAATAAACAGAAGCTTCATGTGTACGTAGCTGTTGCAGCAGCTGTATAGCTCAGGCCACACTTTATTCATATTGGTTTCTATAATGATGTTAGAAGATAAGCAGAGTGCTAATTTGTTAGCCAGTGATTTACTTGGGTCTTGCATAAAAACTGTGTTTGTATAAAAATTGGAGTTCAATGAAAAAGAAATTGTTTTAAACGTTGGTTTTGTTAATCAAGCTACCACATCTTCAATATATTATAGAGAGAGCAAAAACAGATGCATGAAAATACACTTTGAATTTAAAATTAACTGAATTTTTTTTAGAAGAAGCAAATGGTTCATTGTTGCCAAACATCATGTACCCAATTTTTAACGCATTCAGATACATTAACAGCCTAATGAATCCATCTCATTAGGTATCTTTTTGCATAAATTAATAGAGATAGGCTGTCAAAACTCCTGGGGGAATTAGTGACAGTTGAAAGATGCTTTGGTAACTTTTACTTTCTACTTACGACCATTTCTATACACCCAAAACCTTTGAAATCTGGTTCTTAGGGAGGTCAAGGTCTTAAGTAGATGGCGGATTTTGTGTCATGGCTCTGACTTCTAGACTGACAGAGTAAAGTGGGCTGTCTTGGTTTTTCAAATCTTTTTCAAGAGTCTATGAAGAAGATGCTCTCAGCCTGTGAGGTATGCAAAAATCAGTAGTAGTTCAACGAAAAGCTGTTTCAGTGGCAGTAGAATTTCACTTGAAGAGAATTTTTGAAAGTTCCCTGGTTTTGTGTCCCGCCATTCAGCCATCTATATACTGCATAGACACTTCTCTAAAGCAGTACGCAGTACCTGGGTATACTGAGTTGTCCAGACAGATCAAAGATGGCATTTTCCGGTTCCATGTGTAGTTTGAAATACTAGCTCCTTAAAATCTGAGACAGTCAAATTGGTATTGGTTATTTACATTATTGAATAGATGAGCAGCAAGTACCTGCCTTAGTGTAAGCACTTCTAATGTCAGGCTTTTTTGATTTCTGCAGAATCAATGACTTCTAATGTTAACAAAAAAAATAAATACCTTATACTTGCTGTCCTTTCCTTGCCTTCCCTCTGGCTCTGTGGGCTCCCCCAGGGGATGACGATCTGGAGGCACTGAAAGCCAAGAACATCAAGCAGACAGAGCTGGTGGCCGACCTGCGTGAGGCCATTGTCCAGGTGGCAAGACACTTCCAGCGTGTGGATCCCAAGAACTGCAGCATTGTGAGTGGGAACAGCTGGATCTGCACTGCCGTGTGCTCCAGGCATGAGTGTTGAGTGGCCGCTACAGGACAGGGCTGTTCAAATGCTCCTGGAGTGTGGGCTTGAGGAAGAACATTCCAGGTGTAAAAGGTGGAGGATGAGGGTTGCTCAACCCATTCCCGCTGGAGGAGGGGTGTGCTGGGCGGTTGTCTACCTGCTAGGAGTGGGAAAAGGTTTGGGAACAGGGCAGATCATATGGGAGTCAACTATTGCTTTTCATTCCTCTCTGCTCTTCATCTACATGCATGCTAGGATCTGACACCAGACTACAGCATGGAGAGCCACCAGCGGGACCACGAGAACTATGTGGCCTGTTCCCGCAACCGACGACGACGAGCCAAGGCACTACTGGACTTTGAGCGCCATGATGACGATGAGCTGGGCTTCCGCAAGAACGACATCATTACGGTACGTCAACTTATGAGTCAGGGGCTGGGGCAAAACCATGCAGATCCAACTTGTTTGGGATCCTGCCCTGCCTGTTTTGCAGGGAAAGAAGGGAGGAGATCAGCTCAGAGCCCAGTTAGGAGTCCAAGGGAAGCAGCTGCTGTTTCTGGGGGGTGCCTGGGGATGAGGCAGTATGTTCCTGTGAGTGTTGTCTTGTGGGTCATTCTCAATGCAGCCACCAGGTCCCTTTCCTGGCTGCCATACAGCTGAGCAAAAGATTGATTTGGTTCAACCTGGGTCCTAGTTTAAGACTGTGCACTAAGCTGTGGTAACACTGTAAAGGCATCCATTTGCATTTTAGCTGTGGACATCCCATCTGAAATTGGGGTAAATGGGGGTAACGTGTTTGCAATAGCTTTTTGCCCTTGAAGGCTCTGGGCCACATGAGAAGTGAACATTGGCAAAACAGTTCAGAAGAAAGCAGTTCCTCGTTGTGCACACGCAGCTGGGCAGCTGTAGGATCTCCTACAGTGCCTCCTGGCACTGCACTCTCTTCAGCCAGTGTTTTCCACTCCCTGTTTTTCAGATCATTTCTCAGAAGGATGAGCACTGTTGGGTGGGAGAGCTGAATGGACTGAGAGGTGAGAGCAGAATGGGTTGCACTGGGGGGAGTGGGGCCGAATGTGGAGCATCCATTTATCCACAGCAACTGCTCTGGCACGTTTGCAGCAAAGGCTCTGCCGGTTACCTGGAGTATCTGCCAGGGACAAGGGAGATGTTAAAGCAGAGTATGAGAGCAGTGGTGCAGCTGCCTGGTTACCCCTTGCAACCAGCAAGTTTAGGCTCCATCCTCCTGGCACAGAGCGGTTGGGTGTGTGCCATCTCTGCTGTTGGTGGGCAGCGTCCTGTAATTGGCTTCCTCTTGCAGTAGCTTTAATTTTTTTGATTTTTGAGGCTGCTCGCTTCCTTCTTAGGGTTGGACCCTATGAACTCTGATTTATTCTCAGCTTCCACTGAGCTTTGGTCTTGTCTGTGTTAGAGGTTTCTCAGTGTCTGTATCAGCCTCACCTCTTTATCTACTCTTTGTAGGTTGGTTTCCTGCAAAATTTGTGGAGATCTTGGATGAGCGGAGCAAAGAGGTAACGAAAAAAAACCCACAACAGCAACAACCCCCCCCCCAAACATAAAAAGAGAGTCACGTGAAACATAACTGAAAAAACATAGTTGAAAAGAGCCGTATATTTCCCTTCTTGAGTCTGTTTTCTCTCTCTGGCTACTGAGTGCTTAGTGATGTGATCAGGCAGTTTATCTTCCTAATCCTGTTTGCTCAACTTCCTGATGCTGACCAAGTGGAGAATGAGGGCCCCAGAGGGCTGCAGGGGGTAGCTGAGTGTGATGCCTGGGCTTGCAAGGACCCTAGAGCAGAGCCTCGGGGAAGCTGAGAAAGCAGCAGGCAGAAAGCAGGATCCTGTGGGCGGTGTTTCTGCCTGCTCCCCACTGCCGGTGCTCTCTTCCTCCTTTGTGGCTGCAGATCCTGCTCGTGCTTTGTTGGCACCAGAGTGGATTCTTCCTGAGCAGCTGTGCCCGAGGGAGGGACTCTTGTCTCAGTTCCTCGTGCAACCAGCAGTGGTGAGATGCCACCTATCTAGAGCAGATACCTGAATACAGCCTCACGGCTGGGGTAACGGATAGGAGACAAATGTCATCAGTTGTTGGCCTAGGCAATTTGCAGTGAAAGTGGAGAACGTCCTGTTTTCCCTCTCCCCCTCAGCGTTTGGTGAGTGAGGAAAGGCTCAAAAGCTGACCTGAGACCCCAAGAGAAGCTCCTAGGAGATGTCGCTATTGACGTTGCACTTGCTTCCTCACCCCCTTCTCAGGGCTGGTTCCTTAGATGCAGATCACCTCTCTGTGTATAAACACACCCTGTACTGCTGAGCAGTTCTCCTCCCAACCGTGGAAGTAGGGAGGATCCCACTCATCCTAATTTTGGCATGTTACTGTTCAGCCCTTCATGCTAAGAATGTGTCGGGGTGATACCCCGCAGTGGTGTCCCAGCGGACTTGGGAATTCCCATCTACCCCCATTTGTCTTGACTTTTAGCAGGTTACAGAGTTCGAGAGACCCTCATTGCAAGTCCCTCTCCTTACCTTTGCTCAGTCAGCATCACACCAAAATGCAGCAATTCCTACATGCTGAACGCTGCCAGGATGTTGCTGGGGTCACCTGTGTGGTCTCCTGGGCAGCACCTAGGCACAAAGGTCCTGGTGTTCCAGCAAATCCCAGGGGAGAAGCACTGAACGCGGTGTCTTATGCAAGAGCCAGCAAAAGCAAGGGGTTAAGGGCGGGGGTCTGGGGGGGCTGGTAGGTATCTGGGAGTGGAAGAGGTGTGTGCAGAGAAGCTGTAGGTGAGTGACCACCTCCATGCTCTGCCCCCTTGCCAGTATGCTGAGGGCTGGCTCTTCATGTTCCTTAGTACTCCATCGCTGGAGATGACTCAGTCACAGAAGGGGTGACGGACTTGGTGCGAGGGACGCTGTGTCCAGCCTTGAAGTCCATATTTGAACATGGATTGAAGAAGCCATCTCTGCTGGGGGGGCCCTGCCATCCCTGGCTGTTCATTGAAGAGGTGAGATGTCTCAGTTCCCTTGGTGGGGCAGTGTTGCCAGAGGGTTGGGGTGAGGGGGCTGTAGGGCGGGGTGTCCTGACTGTCCCTCTGTCCTATCAGGCTGCAAGCCGAGAAGTGGAACGGGACTTTGACTCTGTGTATTCTCGCCTTGTGCTCTGCAAGACTTACAGGTAAGGCCACTTTATTCTCTCCAAGCGGCTGGGTCTGTGCCCCACTCCTGCGTGCTCATCAAGCTGCTGCTGCTGCTCTCCACCTTGGGAAGGGTCATGGTCTGCTCCATCTTCCTGTGGGTGTGGTGTCAGCAGGCTGCTGTGCCTGTGCTGACTGGGGGCTGGCAGTGGCTCTTGTCCCCTTCCCCGGGCTACTCTGTCTGCTTCTGGGTCTGTATCTTGCTCTCTCATGGCTGCAGGATCACCTGTGGGCTCAGCGGTAGCAGGAGAGCTGTTGGGGTATGAAGGGGGAAAGGTATGCATGTGGCCAGGTTGGCTCCAGAGCTAGCTAGGTCTCTGCTGTGATCTTTGCAGGCTTGATGAAGACAGCAAAGTCCTCACTCTGGAGGAGCTGCTTTACCGGGTGAGTGCTTGCTCCCAGCCCAGCCAGAGCCCAGCTCCTCACGTGGGGAAGTTTCCCCTGGAGGCTGCTGGAGGCTGATGCCCATTTCGAGACTCTCCCAGACCTTCCCTAATGGGAAGGAGTAGAGACACCAGGTGCCTGGGGAAATGCAGAAAGTGAAGCCATCAGGAAGGCTCAGCCCCTCTGATGCTAGCAAGTGGCACTGGGTGAGGGTGGCACTCCGGGGAGGGGAGCATTTGGCTGTGTTGCTGAAATGGCTGCCCAGCCTAAGGCTAAGCTGAGAAGGCGGTAACCACATCTTCCCTCCCTGCAGGCAGTTCAGGCCGTGAACATGACACACGATGCTGCACATGCACAAATGGACGTGAAGCTTCGTTCCCTCATCTGCGTTGGACTCAAGTGAGTCATCCAGTCCTGATACCCTTGGCATTGTGGGTGCAAGGAGCTTGGGAGGGGGCAGGCTCAAGGGCAGCAGTTGTTTCCATGTACCTTAGGCCACAGGGTCTTTTTCCCCCCTCATTGCAGCCACTGAGTGGGACCTGCTCCTTTCTTGTTCATCGTGCTGGCCTGGCTCCTGGCTGGAAGAAGTAGTTCTTACTGCATGGAGCGGCTCACACAAGTTTACTGGGTTATCCTGTTCCTGCCAGGAACAGGACTGTGGGCTGGGGTCAAGGCTTGGGCTGAAAATAGACTGTCCCAAAGGGATAGGGCTTATTTCCCTGGCTTCAGCCCGGTAACATGCCTCTACCCCATCGCTGCAGCGAGCAGGTGCTGCATTTGTGGCTGGAGGTGCTGTGCTCAAGCCTGCAGACCGTGGAGAAGTGGTTCCATCCATGGTCATTCCTGCGCAGTCCTGGATGGGTGCAGATCAAATGTGAGCTGAGGTGAGTGTCACCGTGGGCCTCGCCAGGGTCTGGAATGGATTTCCTCCTCCTCTGCAGGAGGTGGCCTTCACTATGGCTGGCTTTTGGGCCCTCTACAGTGAGTAGCGGCATGGGCTGCCCAGACATCCCCACTGCAGGGATTTCCTTCAGTGTGCTGAGGCAGCAGCAACTGTCTAGACAGTTTAATGCGATGCACTGTGCCTGCCTGATCCAAGGGCAGAGCTTGGCTCCTGGGGAGCTGTCGTGACAAACAGGCAGCCTCTGCCTGCCAGCAACCTCCTGCTGTGCCCTGCACCTACTCTGGTTGAGAGACAGCCTTTCCACCCCTCTGCTCTCCAGGTGGTCTGCCAGCCACCATGAGTCCAAGCAGGGAACAGGGAAAGTGCTAGGGAGATGGTCCGACTGTCAGTGACCAGGAAGGAGTCGGTCACCGGCTAACTCCTGGTAGAGCGAGGGAGTGATGTCAGGGGCTGAACGCAGCTGAGCTTGCACAAAGCACATCACGTGGAGCCCAGGGCACGCATCCATGCTGCGTGCTCCTGGCCCCCCTGCACTCTGCAAAGTCACATCCAGTCCCAGGGAGCCACACAGCAAACCCCCCGCTGCCACCACCACCACTCCAGCCCCATTGCTGCCGCCGTCCTGCAGGAACTGGCTTTTGTCCGTGTTGCCTGGTTGCTTCTGGCCTCCGTGGGAGCATCTAGCCAGGAGCAGGCCTGTGTGTATGCACCTTGGGGTGCCCTGTTCTCCTTGTGCTGCAGTGTCCTATGGCTGCTTTCTCTCAGCACAGGGGTTGTGCTAGTTCAGCACAACCAAGTAGGACTAGTTCATGGCTGGGCGCAGGTTTGTGTGGAGCAGGTGTGGAGGCTTATGTCATATTTCTCCCAGCCAGCTTCCTGTGGAGAGCCTCTGCTCCCTCACGGCTGCAGGAGCTGGAGGATACCCCCACACAGGAGTTTTCCCTAAGCCCGAAGCTTGTTGCCAGGAGGTCTGAGCTCTGCATCCCTGTCCTAGGGACAGCCTTGAGGCTGTGCCTGCATGGAGTGGAGTCCAGCGAGGGAGCTCCACGTGCCATCCCCATGCGGCACTTGTGCATGGGGGTCAGGCTGCTTCTGTTATTTCTGGAAGAGAGAGAGGGGTGCAGAAACTCTGAGGTGCTGCTGGCAGTTCTGGAGAGGAACCTGCAACCCTCCCCATTGCCAGCTGCAAGCAGGCCTCAGCTGCATGTGTCTGCAGTCTTGCAGAGCCCGAGGCTGCCCGTGCCTCCCTGCGCTGCTGTGTCAGGCTCTGTAGGGGTTGCACTTGAGTCACATCTTCAAACTTTTCTTTCCAGCCTAGGCCTGGCAGGATGTGAAGCCCAAAGAGGAGGGCTACCCTTTCAACACCAACAAACAACGAATTGCATCCTTGCAAGCTTAGTGGCCTGCTGGGGCAAGCTGAGGAGCCAGCAATTGTGTGCCTGGGGGCAGCAGTTGTGGGCACAAGGCTGGGCATGTGATCCGGGAGGGAGGGCGTGTGTGGGGCGGGGGTGTGTGTGTACCATTGCTCTCTTCCATTGCAGAGTCCTCTGCAAATTTGCCTTCAGCCTCTCTCAGGACTGGGAGCTGCCAATAAAGAGGGAGGTGAGTAGGTGGCGTCTCTCGTTCTGTCCCTCAGCCATGGGCTTTGCTTACTGCCTTCCTCTCCCAGCTTGGTGTTCCAGCCCATCCTCTGCCTTCTCTTGAGCCGGCACCAACCAGAGGCTGTGGCTGGAGCTGCTTTCCCTGCCAGCGTAGGCTGTGCACAGGCACTGTTTGGCAGTGCTGGCAGAGGGTGCTGCTGGTCCCTGCCCAGTTAGGGCAGAGGGAAATGGCCGCTCCCTTCCCCGGTGTTCTCCAAACCGCAGACCTCTCCCTGTTTCAGCTGGGTGGAGGTGGGAAGTGCAGACGGCGGCTCTGTCTGGGTGCCGGAGATCTCCGTGTGCTTGGGCTCTGCCCACAGACACAACCTCCCCTTTTCTGTCTGCGGTGCACTGACCCAGGTCTCTGTGTCATCCTGCAGGAGAAGGAGAAGAAGCCACTGAAGGAGGGTGTGCAGGACATGCTCGTGAAGCACCATCTCTTCAGCTGGGACATAGATGGGTGACCCCCACCCTGCCCCATCCTAGGGAACTTTCTCAATGGCGCACACTCCTCTTCCCCACCCCCATCATGTCTCACCCCCTGCCCTCCCCCACCCCACCCACTTCTATCTGTGACAAAATCCCCATCGGGCGGGATGCCAGGCCACCTAGGACAGATGGCAGAAGCGGCTGCAGACCCAAGGGAGGTGACAGTCGAGGGTGATGCTGCAAAGGGACAAGTGTGTTCTGGCCACAAAACAAGCGTGCCCATCCCAGCCTTCCCCATCTTTGCCACCCCCATCTTCTGCTTGCCTCAGCCCTGCCTCCCCCCTGGTGCCTGGGGGAGCAGCCTGGTCCGCAGACCCTCGCGTGCTGCCCCATGGGCCAGCAGCTGCGTGGGGGTGTGAGACCGTCTGCTG